ATTTTCACACTTCTGGTCCTTGCAGTCAAAACTTTTACATTTTTTGTCCGGAGCAAAGCCCGGACTTTTCATCCTTGCACTTTCTATGTCTGTCATATTTATCAATTCGGAAACAAATTTGAAAGCTTCTGGCCCCCGCGTAGCGGGGGTAACCTTTCTAGTTAAAATAAAAAAAAAATAAAAAAATAAAAAAAATAAAAAAACGTAGAAAGTCATGAAAACTATATTAATGAATCGATACCTTAAAAAAACAATTTAAATCAAGATTATATCAATATGAATGACAAAATGCCTCTAAATTATGACGAAAGTGCATACCATTATTTGAAATATATTTTTTACTTTATTTATTGTAATTCATCACTATTATCATGTTCTATCTAAATGTTGGGTGCTACATTCATTACCACAATCACCATCATATGATCATGTTCAATCTTTGCAAATGTTGAAAGCTACATCCATCATCGATCACCTTTTACTTCACAATTTGACTTTAATTTATCACTGATCTACTTTATTTCAGTTACCCTCTACTTCTCATTGTTTTGGTTGGGTAGGATCTTCTTGACTCTCGTAGCAGCAATCGACCAAGTAATGAGGGGTTGTTTGTTGGTGTTGCTTACATTCAAAGGAGAATAGTAATTAAAGTGTGTGCTCATAAATCATTCATATTAGAGTAATTTATGTATACAGTTTTATACACACAACGGTATAATAATAATAATAATAATAATAATAATAATAATAATAAACAAATCAAGTATAGCCTTTCATGATTTTATCGATTTGGCAACTTCAAATACAATACGAAACAAAGCATAGAAGACTTATGTCACACGATTCAAATAACAACTCCTTTAGTGAAAAGTGTGTACCGGTTATTGTCAAGATTAAGACCATATTGAACCTTTGAACACAACATGTTCTTAAAATATTACAAAAACAAGAAACATATATAAACTTTTCTCGTTGTGCGTCAAGGAAGAAAAAAACACATAAAACAATTTTGTGGCAATGAGGAGAAAACACGTAGATATAAACAAGATACTGATCAAAATTTTCTACACTACTAGAAAACATGGCGTTTTCCTACGGAAAATAGCTACGGAAAATTTCCGTAGCTAATTAGCTACGGAATTGTTACGGATCAGCTACAGAATAGGATGCCCTAGTTTAGTAAAGGAATAGCTACGGATGCGGGTCCGTAGCTAACTAGCTACGGAATAGCTACAAATGCAAAATCTATAGCTATTTTGTAGCTAATTAGCTACGGAATGGCTACGGAATACCTACGGATACTAATTACCTACGGATTAGCTACGGAGTATGCTTTCCGTTAGAATTCCGTAGCTAATCCGTAGCTAAGTAGCTACAGATTAGCTACGGATTTTTCTTATTTTCAATTTTTCGGGCACCAAACGTCGTTTTTTTCGCTTCGTTTTTTTCACACCTCTACTATACATGATTATCTTTATTTTCACCAACTTGTAGCTATTAATATCGTTCATAAAGTCGTGTGCCCCTTCGGAATCAAGTACTCGTTTCACAGTTTAACATTGTAATGCATATACTTTTCACCAACTTGTGATGGATTATGTTTGTATATGTATATTTATATACATGAATGAGTTGTGGTATATATGTACGTGTATATGTGTATGTATACGTGTTTGTGAGATGTATGTGTACGTATTCATAAGCATTATAGTGTTAAACCATTAAACGAGCAATGGATCCCGTATGTGCACACGACTTTATAAATGATATTAATAGCTATAAATTGGTGAAACTATAGATAATCATGTATAATAGAGGTGTGAAAAAAAAGGAGCGAAAAAAACGAAGTTTGGTGCCCGAAAAATCAAAAATAAGAAAAAACCGTAGCTAATCCGTAGCTAATTAGCTACAGATTTTTTTTTATTTTCGATTTTTTGGGCACCAAACGTCGTTTTTTTCGCTTTGTTTTTTTCACACCTCTACTATACATGATTATCTATATTTTCACCAACTTGTAGCTATTAATATCGTTTATAAAGTCGTGTGCCCCTTCGGGATCAAGTATTCGTTTCACAGTTTAACATTGTAATGCCTATACCTTTCACCAACTTGTGATGGATTATGTTTGTATATGTATATTTATATACATGAATAATTTGTGGTATATGTGTACGTGTATATGTGTATGTATATGTGTTTGTGAGATGTATGTGTACGTATTCATAAGCATTATAGTGTTAAACCATTAAACGAGCAATGGATCTCGTATGTGCACACGACTTTATAAATGATATTAATAGCTATAAATTGGTGGAAATATAGATAATCATGTATAATAGAGGTGTGAAAAAAACGGAGCGAAAAAAACGACGTTTGGTGCCCGAAAAATCGAAAATAAGAAAAATTTGTAGCTAATCCGTAGCTAATTAGCTATGGAATTCTAACGGAAAGCATATTCTGTAGCTAATCCGTAGGTAATTAGCTACGGATTAGCTACGGA